TGAGTTCTTGGATTGTGTTATTGCTGGTGATGAAGTTGGTATTATACTGGAAACTACAAGTTTTTTTGCCGAGCAAGGTGGTCAGGTATTGTATGCTACTTAACAATTGGTTTAGCCATACAAATGTGTTATTGTCTTGAGGAGTTACTTTGAATTTTGGCCTTTCCAATTGCAATTTATTTGAACCCAAGTAATGGTATATTTTGTTTATCACCTTATTATTTGTGTCTTGCACTAACATACTTGCTAGTACACTTATCAAAGAAGGAAGGCTTCTTTTTTTTTTTCCCGCGGAGGGAGGTGGGGTGTTCATGGCTTTAATTTCTATAGTTGTGATGTTAAGGTGTGTTGGGGTGGACCATGGTGGTAAGATATAGCTAAAATGCTTGTTACATACCTTCATGGTTTATATCAGACCTTAATTGACTTAGGCATAAATGGACTTATCTTGGTGGCACCTTGCACCAAGGCGCTTCATGACTTTGGAGTAAGGTGAAGTAGCTAAGGTGTTTAACAAAAGTTTCAGACACTATGCCTCAGGGCCTCGTCATTATGTTTCCTTGGTTCAGTTGATGTTTGCTCATGTCACTTGGGAAAAACTACTAAGAGCATATATAGGGGGTGGTGATAGTTGAGGGGCACCAAGGGCCCGACAAGCCTTGTTCCCTGAAACCTTGGCACTGCTGGACAAGTCATGTAGCAAGGTCCTTGTCACAAGTGAGACAAGGCGGACATGGGAACGCAAAATAATGGTGGGATCAAAAAAATTGTGGGGACCCTGTATCTACAAAAGGCCACATTGACATGGCTTAGGATGGCAGTAGGTAATGGCACAATTGAAGCAATGTTGCTACATGACTTCGCAAGGCATGACTTGGCTCAATATGCTTGATTTGTTCTTGAGGCTTCGTTGCTGATTTGCAGGCACACGACTGGGACAGGTCTGCTCGACCAGAGGGTTGAGGAGCGGTTGCAGTGCATGGCCTGATCATGGGAAGTAGTTGCACTCTGACAGCATGTAGCTTCATTTGGGCTCATCAGGATAGGACCGAAGAGGCAAAAGACTGCTTAACAAAGGCAATGGAGAGGATGAAGAATTGGGCAAATGAGAAACAGAGGCCATTAGAGTTCAGTGTTGGTGACAAAGTGATGTTGAAGTTGACCCCACATATATGGAAATAGATTACTCGCAAGAATGCACATAAGGAATTGATACAACGCTATTACAGTCCTATTGTCAAGGATTGGCAGGTTGCCTTATAGGCTGGACCTCCCCAGTTGGTTCAGGTTGCACTCGGTTTTCATGTTGCATTCCTGAAGCAGTACACTGAGGAATAAGACAAACCTAGTAGACATGTTCGACGTTGAGCTCCTCCAACAATCAGGAAGAAATAAATTGACGTGGCTGTAGCTATTCTTGACCAAAAGGTATGAGAAAGAAAAACAAAAGGACTCATTACTTAGGCAAGTGGGAAGAGAAGGTATCAGAGTGAGCTCATTGGGAGAAGTAGACAACACTGTGGCAGTTCAACTTGATCAAGTAATATCACGCTACCCTTCCAATAAGTTCGTTGGAAACTTCAGGTTGGGGTGGCTTGTCAAATCCTAATTGCCTTAGGCAAAAATGGACGTGTATTGGTGGCACCTTGCACCAAGATGTTTCGTGACTTTGAAGTAAGGTGAAGTAGCTAATGTGTTCAAAAAAAGTGTTGGGCACTATGCTCCAAACCCTCGTCAATATGCTTCGTTGGAAACTTTAGGTGGGGGTGGCTTGTTAATCCTTAATTGACTTAGGTGAAAATGGATGCGTCTTGGTGGCACCTTGCACCAAGATGCTTCATGATTTTGAAGTAAGGTGAAGTAGCTAATTTGTTCGACAAAAGTTTCAGGCACTCTGCCCTGCCCCAGAACCTCGTTTTTATGCTTCCTTGGTTCAGCTGATGTCAGCTCATGCCACTTTGAAAAATCTTCCAAGAGTATATATAGGAAGTGGTTATAGTTGAGGGGCACCAAGGGCCTGGCAAGGCTTGTGCCCCCAAGCCTTGGCATTGCTGGCAAGGTGGACAAGGGAACACAAGATAATGGTGGGACCAGAAAAATTGTGGAGACCAGTAAATACGAAAGNTGGTGATAGTTGAGGGGCACCAAGGGCCCGACAAGCCTTGTTCCCTGAAACCTTGGCACTGCTGGACAAGTCATGTAGCAAGGTCCTTGTCACAAGTGAGACAAGGCGGACATGGGAACGCAAAATAATGGTGGGATCAAAAAAATTGTGGGGACCCTGTATCTACAAAAGGCCACATTGACATGGCTTAGGATGGCAGTAGGTAATGGCACAATTGAAGCAATGTTGCTACATGACTTCGCAAGGCATGACTTGGCTCAATATGCTTGATTTGTTCTTGAGGCTTCGTTGCTGATTTGCAGGCACACGACTGGGACAGGTCTGCTCGACCAGAGGGTTGAGGAGCGGTTGCAGTGCATGGCCTGATCATGGGAAGTAGTTGCACTCTGACAGCATGTAGCTTCATTTGGGCTCATCAGGATAGGACCGAAGAGGCAAAAGACTGCTTAACAAAGGCAATGGAGAGGATGAAGAATTGGGCAAATGAGAAACAGAGGCCATTAGAGTTCAGTGTTGGTGACAAAGTGATGTTGAAGTTGACCCCACATATATGGAAATAGATTACTCGCAAGAATGCACATAAGGAATTGATACAACGCTATTACAGTCCTATTGTCAAGGATTGGCAGGTTGCCTTATAGGCTGGACCTCCCCAGTTGGTTCAGGTTGCACTCGGTTTTCATGTTGCATTCCTGAAGCAGTACATTGAGGAATAAGACAAACCTAGTAGACATGTTCGACGTTGAGCTCCTCCAACAATCAGGAAGAAATAAATTGACGTGGCTGTAGCTATTCTTGACCAAAAGGTATGAGAAAGAAAAACAAAAGGACTCATTACTTAGGCAAGTGGGAAGAGAAGGTATCAGAGTGAGCTCATTGGGAGAAGTAGACAACACTGTGGCAGTTCAACTTGATCAAGTAATATCACGCTACCCTTCCAATAAGTTCGTTGGAAACTTCAGGTTGGGGTGGCTTGTCAAATCCTAATTGCCTTAGGCAAAAATGGACGTGTATTGGTGGCACCTTGCACCAAGATGTTTCGTGACTTTGAAGTAAGGTGAAGTAGCTAATGTGTTCAAAAAAAGTTTTGGGCACTATGCTCCAAACCCTCGTCAATATGCTTCGTTGGAAACTTTAGGTGGGGGTGGCTTGTTAATCCTTAATTGACTTAGGTGAAAATGGATGCGTCTTGGTGGCACCTTGCACCAAGATGCTTCATGATTTTGAAGTAAGGTGAAGTAGCTAATTTGTTCGACAAAAGTTTCAGGCACTCTGCCCTGCCCCAGAACCTCGTTTTTATGCTTCCTTGGTTCAGCTGATGTCAGCTCATGCCACTTTGAAAAATCTTCCAAGAGTATATATAGGAAGTGGTTATAGTTGAGGGGCACCAAGGGCCTGGCAAGGCTTGTGCCCCCAAGCCTTGGCATTGCTGGCAAGGTGGACAAGGGAACACAAGATAATGGTGGGACCAGAAAAATTGTGGAGACCAGTAAATACGAAAGGCCACGCGACTGAGGATGGCAGCACGTAGTGGGCACAAATGAGGCAATGTTGGTGTATGGCTTCACAAGGCATGGATTGGGCTTGACTCAACATGCTTGATCGATTCGTGAGCAAGGCTTGGCTGCGAATTTGTAGGCGCATGGCTGGGACAAGTATGCTCAATGCATGGAACTAGATGGTTAAGGGTGGCTATTGTTCATAGCTTGATCAGGGAAGCAGTTGTGGGTGGTTACTGGGCATAACATGATCATGGGCGAGCAGTTGTGGGCGGTTTCCAAGTCAGGTGTTGAATTGGAGGAACCGTTGCCATATTCCTTGTATAAATAAGGAATGTTGGGGCAATCTGTAGGCTGAGAGTCTTTGGTTGAATTTGTATGTTCCTTGTATTGGTTGAGCAATAATATAAGTTGGGGAGTGTTTTCTTTGTACATCGTGTGTTGCTTGTGCGTGTGCGCGTGCGCGCGTGCTCCTTTACGAGTTTTTGAGTGGCTGGTTGATGAGGCAACATCTTCATGAGTAGTCTCCTTTGTGAAAAAAGAGCAAATAGGGTGTTACGCGTGACAGTTTACATCATAAATATTTTGTGGATGAGAACAAACTTTGCTTTTCATGTTGCCTCTCTGTTCTTATTTTGTAGATGTCTCCTCCCGGCTCCCAGTTATTTACAACATAAAATTAATCTATGAATTCAACATTGATAAATGATTCCGAAGGCGTCCAGTAACTATGAATTTCATATGTAAACTTCTCTAAGTAACTGAATTTCATATGTATGCTGTCTCCTTCTTTGTCTTTGATTAGTTAGAACTTAGAATACAGGAATCAAAATAAGCATAAAAGTGGAGGAGAAAAGGAGAATAAGAGAGCTGTAACCTTTGCCCTCCTTTCTCGGCATTAGTGTAACAAAACTTTTCAATAAATGCCCCCGTTTTTTTTTTATCTTTATGTTTTACAATGGCCCTGTCCTAGAGTTGCTTCAGAGGTTCTCAGGCAAGTGGTTTCTGGTTCTAGTTTATTTTTTGTTCTTCTTATTGGAAAAATTGGATCTATTTATTTTCATTTATAGAGAGGAGGAGAGATCAGGAACTGTACCTTCATCGTTTTTTAGTTGATCACTCTAGTTGTGCCAGATAGAAGATAACACTTAACACATCTTGAGCAGTAATTTTTTGGTATGATTTTTATAAGTTTTTAGTTGATATGCCCATGTTCATTTTCTTTTTTTCCTTATGGTTGAAAGAAATGGACCTGCTTCATTCCCATTGCAAGCCCTCGCTACATCTTAAAGTTTATACATGAAATGCTTTGCCATTTTTTAAGGATGATGAAATGGCAATTGTCATTGCCATGCTTTGTGTCTTGATTGCTGCTTATGGTATTCGGAATATTTAAGTTCTGAGAGTTGGACCGATGTAGGTTCTCTCTGATGCATATGATATATGCTCCTGTTAGTATTTTGATGGTTTATCGAACATGTTTCTATTATTTTTCTAGAAAACCTGAAGCTGCAATTTGGGAGTACTATAATTTTATAAAATACATAGGTACTTCTGCTTGGACAGTACTGTAATGTTGAAAATGAAAGTAGAGACTTTGGACGTGCTTTGTTTTGCAATTTGCAATCTCTACCGAAGCCAGAATGGATGCAATATACGTCCATCGGAACCTATTTTCTAAACCTTGAGCGTTAGGAAATCTGGAATTAATGATGATGACAAACGCTCATATTTTTTGGGATGTGGTTTGGCTTGGAATCTGGGAACCTGAAATCTTTGCATACATCAGGTCTGGGGTGGTGTTCAATCATTGAATTTTCTTTCATGGCTGTGCAACCCCACAACTCATATCTTATTTCCCCCTTGATTGGGACATGCCAATTTCATAAATGTTGTCATATCATGAAGTGAAGTCACTTTAAATCACATGATGCATTTGTTCATATGATATGTAATGTATGTAATGTCAACATGTTCTAAGATCTGACATGCAACTTCCTTTTTTACGTTTAGCCTGTACAAAATGTTTTATTTATTTAATGTTGTGGATATTTTTGCTTATTGAAATCAAGATGTTTCTAGGTCTGATACAGTCATCGGGGTTTTACAGATATATGATACTGGATCACTTGAAGGCTTATATGGATCATTTCAAGTTTGAAATATCCAAATTTATGGAGGGTTCATTCTTCATCTTGGTTCTTTTAGTGGAAATGGTGGCAAACTCTCCGTGGCCGATAAAATAATTTGCAACGTAGCATGCTTTTATACTTGATCATAGTGTTTGCAAACATGAATATGTTTGTTCATCTACATATTTCTTCTGTTCTTTTATGACTACAACCAGTTCTCTAATAACTTGAGCAGGTTGACTATGATAGGCGTAAGCTGATTGCTTCCAACCATACATTTACACACATTTTAAATTTTGCTCTAAGGGTAATTGATGAAATTGTCAAGTGTTATGAGCTTCCAATCTTCTTTTTTTTGTTTTGATCAATTTTTGCAGTTAAACTCCTGAATACTTAGTAACATGGATGCAGGAAGTGCTTGGTGATCATGTTGACCAGAAGGGATCCATTGTCCTTCCTGAAAATTTGAGATTTGATTTTTCTCATGGTAAGTTTGTCTGCTGTTTCGTTGTGTGTACAAAAGCATTTCTAAATTCCACTAACACATGAACAGGGAAACCTGTAAAGCCCGAAGAGCTGAAAAAAATTGAATCCATTGTGAACGAGCAAATTAAAGATGAAATGGATGTATTTGCGAAGGAAGTAACCCTGACCGATGCAACGACCCTAACTTGGTTTACAGGCCTCCTTAAATGTTGCTTTTCTATTTTGATATAGGTCTATCCAGACCCAGTTAGGGTCGTTGCAATTGGTCGGAAAGTGGAGGATCTCCTTTCTGATCCACAAAGTGAAGAGTGGTTATCCATTTCTGCAGAGCTCTGTGGAGGTACGTCTTTCTTTTAGCTCAGTACTTATTGGATCTTTTTCTTCAAAATCATAATAATGTTGATTCAATCAATGTATATTATTTATATTAAGGTTGATTTGCTAAAATCTTTATAGGCACTCATATATCAAATACACGAGAGGCAAAGGCATTCGCTCTTTTATCTGAGGAGGGAATTGCCAAGGGAATCCGTAGAGTTACCACTGTTACATTGGATTATGCTTTAAAGGCCGCGGAATTGGCATCATCACTTGGGCAGGAAGCAAATGAAGCATCCAAAACAGAAGGAAGCTTGTTGGAACAGGTATTTACTTAGTTACACCTTCTTGTTATGCTATATTATTCTAAGTGAATAAATATTTGTTTATTCAGTTAAAAAAACGACAACACTTTAACTCCTAAGTATCAGTTTGTTTTTCTGTTTTTTTAGAGTATGTGGCATACTGGTTGCGATAATGTGTGGTATACCATTTATTTTTGTATTTTGTTTTAAAAAACGAGGTGGCCTACTTTCCTGACCTTTACCACCTTTCATTTTGCACTGACGTATTTCTGAATAGTGTTTGTCCTGCTGATATTTTTCTTTTTTCTTCTTATCTGGGCCAGTCTAACAATATGCCCGCCCCACCCCCCCCCCCAAAAAAAAAAAAAAAAAAAAGAGGAAGAAATAAATAAATAAATAATTCTGAAAAAGTTGCATGGGAGTTGTTGATTTAGTTACAGTCATACAAGTACATATGTATCCGGTAAAATACCCATCCTTTCAGCAAAGTCACCTACAGGTGCTTGCTTCTCTAAACTCACCATATCTTGCTGCATTTGGCTCTATGATTTCTTTTATACATTATCAGATCCTGATTTAAAAAGCAGAGAGAAATACAACGACATTTGTAGTAGACTAAGACATTTGTAGTAGACTAAGGATGGCTTAGGGTGAAAGTTCCTATAGGACTCTTTTTTTTGTTTTGTTGGGGTTGGTCCTCACATAATGCTCNAAAAAAAAAAAAAAAAAAAAAAACCAAAACTCACAAAACACACGCACATTTAAAAACTCAAAAAGCCTCCCACTCCTTCTTTTGTCACTGTTTGCAAATTGCATTTATTTCTTTAACCAGTGTAATTTCTGCTCTATATCGTTGGTCTTTTACTATCTTTTTTTCTCAAAGTGAGACTTTACACTTTCTTCGGTGGGGAACTGTATAAATTTGCCTTTACCTCAACATGTCGATCACATCATTTAGTGATATTGTTATTTCCTCTTATGGAGTACGGAAGAGCATCTGTATGACTATCTATTGATTTGTGAGCAGCAGTGTGGAAAGCAAATGAAGAGAAAAAGGGCAGGGCCAGGGGGTTGGATTCATTTACAGATTTTGTAATTGGATTTGTTGTATATTCAACCAAGNGTATGACTATCTATTGATTTGTGAGCAGCAGTGTGGAAAGCAAATGAAGAGAAAAAGGGCAGGGCCAGGGGGTTGGATTCATTTACAGATTTTGTAATTGGATTTGTTGTGAATTCAACCAAGAAAGAGAGCAGTAAGAAAGATACTCTGTTGAAATTGTACTTGTCTGAAAAAAAAAAGGTCTGATAGTACCTGCATTTATGGTACTGTGTGCCAGTTTTGAACTAAAGGTTCCAAACCAGCAGCCATCTGTTAGTCAGTAGCTGTTTTGGCTATTAACTCATGGCATATCCTGCTCATGGGCTTTTTGAACTTAATTGTTGTCTTTCTGTATGCAGCATGAGCAATTATAACATTATTATTCTCGTTTTGATACTTACTGTAGTAGAATGAGGCTTTGAAAGCTGGTCTTATGTCTGGAATGTTGGTTGCACAAGGCTTCAACCTTTGCTCCATTTAACATACCTGAATACAGGGATCACCTAGTTTTTCTTGTTAATCTTCTATAATTTGAATTGTGATTCATTCATGTAACTGACTTTTTAGTTTCGCTTTTTAATTTCTAGAAAGTAAGGTCTTTAAATGGTCGTGTGGAATCGCTGCCTATTCCAACAGCCAAAAAGGCTGAACTTAAGGTCAAACTTTCTGTACTTCAGGCATTTCATCTATCCTGAACCTTGAAATTTCTCATTTCCTTTTTGTCACCACCAATACGCCTATCTCTATGAATACAAGGTGATACTAAACCGCTGCATTTCCTTAGAATCAAGTGCNATCTATCCTGAACCTTGAAATTTCTCATTTCCTTTTTGTCACCACCAATACGCCTATGTCTATGAATACAAGGTGATACTAAACCGCTGCATTTCCTTAGAATCAAGTGATGAAATCGAAAAAAAAGATTGCCGAAGAGAATATACAGAGCTATAAAAGTTGTTGGTGAGATGGCAGAAATTGCTGCTTCTGATGGAAAGGCCTTTTGCATCTCGCATGTCCATGTTGGTTCAGATACTGCTGCAATCCGCGAAGCAGTAGTTAAAATTATGGAGCAGAAGGTAATTAGCAGCTTCTTACGGTTTTTTATAAAATCTAGCTGACCTAACTTGTGGTTATACGGTTTTTTAAGCATCACCCGCCTTTTACACAGTGAATTTTCTCTGGATGAACAGGGGATGGCAATTATGGTTTTCAGCACGGATGAAACTGCAAACAAGGCATTGGTCTGTGCTGGGGTACCAGAGAAAGGTGATAAGGGAAGCTTTGAAACCTGTGAAAGGGAAGGGTGGAGGAGGAAAAGGCGGTCTTGCTCAGGGCCAGGTTAGCAGTTCCTCATGGTCATCCACTTTTTATCCTGCATGACTACACGTGCATAAAAAATTTGGAAATGAGCATTATTACCTCTATGCATTTCATTTATAGAGAAGTTGGCTCGCTTTTAATTGTTTGGAGATCGAGGATCCATTTATTATCTTCATGCTAAAATAATGTTTTAGCAAGTGGTATTACTGGGATTCAGAAGTGAAAAAAAATTAGATGCACATTTGTTGCTTATTTTCTTCAAATTCTTCCAAAATTGTTGAGCAAAGTTTTTTAAATGTGTCGGGTGGTTGTTACAAGTAATCTGGCATGCATGCAGACATGGAAGCCTAGCCGATATTTGGTGATCCCATTTGATTAGTGTTGCGTCAGATGGCAGTTGCTTTGTTTGATATATTTGAGACCTTATCATTCAGTCATTGAGGTGGTTTATTCCCATTTATTCCTTTTCAGGGAACTGATATATCACATGTGGAGGAGGCGATGGACGTGGCAACATTATTTGCAGCAATGCAATGAAATTGAGGTGACAAAGAGGACCCTGGTGTGACCCGGCAAAAGCTATAAAAGTTGTTATATCGTAGTCTCTCTCTCTCTCTCTCTCTCTCTTGCCGCTCTGAACATAAAAGTGTATGCTATATCACTTCGGAAATCGTGGCCGCCTGCCCCCACAGAGTTGGTGCCTGGTGGACTTTGATTAAGCATGACAAAAATGGAATTGTCAGCCTGCCAGCATCTTGAATCCCCATTCAGGTGTTTGTGCTGTGTTGGGGACGACACTCATTTTTAATTTAATATTTTTTTTTAGTTTAATTATGTACAGGCTGAGCCTACTCTTTAATTATTGATATTTCACTTTCACACGAACTAATTGTGATAGAGCACCATACATTCTATTCGTCTTTCAACTTGTCTCTCATTTATAATGTTAGCAACTATACACAAATGACCTCTTGGAATCAACAAAACTTGTGGAGGCAGAGCAAAGCAGTTTGTTTGTGGAGGCAGAGCAAAACCTGCCTTCACACACTAGATATTGACTCACCATTATGGGTGTGGTGTTATCAACTCAGTGAAAGAGAGACATTAGCTTGTGCTTTTGGTTGAACGGATGAGACTCAAACCCCACACACCCCATCCGTCACTCAGCGTAGGCATGCATTGCGTATTACTTGGCCATACATACCCCATCCCACGCTCTTACATTTTAGATAAATGACAAACAACTTGCCCCCACAAACTATCATGAATATGAATTCATCCAAATCCCAATTAACCAACCGTTCAAATGTGTAAAATGTATTGGAAACCATTTTAACGAAAACAAAGTCCTGCATCAAGTCACGGTTTCTAAACTATCTTGCCCGCGCAAATCTTCTACCTATTCGTGTGCACAGCCCTAGTAGTGGCTAATCATCACTTCAAGGTTTATCTTGTGTTCAAATCCAATTCTCCTCCCCCACGCCACTCGGTCTGCAGGCCCGCATCTCCATTTTCTGTCTCTTCGTCATTCAGAAAATCCTCAGATGGCTCCTCATCTCTCTGTGCATTGTTTCCCCATCCATTAATGATGTCGTCTGGGTTAACTTCTTGCTCCTGTTCTTCCATGGCTCGACCAATTGCAATATTACTTCCTCGAGACCCAAGGCCACTCCCACATTTTGAGGCTCCAGACATCATCTCACCATGAGCCTGCCCAGGGTGAACCATGGCTGCATTACGCAAATTAGCCTCATGAGCCTCCCGACCTGCTTTCTGCCTTGAGCCTATTTCTGCCCGCACTTCAATTAGGGCTCGTCTCTCTTCCTGTAGAAGAGCCTGCTCAATCATTAACCTCTCCTCTGATCGGAACTCCCCAAGACCTCGCTTGCGGGAGATTATGTTGAAGGCAAGGACCTGCTTCTCAAATGTGGCTGTAAATTCTGCAACTTTGGCAGCAATGTTGTGATCCCACTGCTGGGAGCGGGAGAGCATCTGGCCTGTCGTGTCAGAATCCAGGATTTTATCATCCTCCTCGGCCTCATAGTCAGCAACTACATGGTAAGGTAATAGCCTGCAGAAATTTTTGTAAGACAAATGGAAATTATGAAGTCTGAAAGTAAGTTGTAATGCTAGTATATCCTTCCCCAAGGAAAAAAATTTACAGCACAACAGATCTTCCAGCTTGAAATTTCCATTACTTGTTCAATCAAAAGCACGTGTTAAAAGCAATTAACTATTAACAATCAACCAATATGCCAAGAACCGCCTTGCTTGATAAATGACATGTATTAAAAACAATCTAGGTGCCAGAGATGCAATTCTTCTATGAAATTGTTTCAAAATATAAACAACCAGACAATACAGAGTGCTAACCTCACCGGACTCCATAACTACGTGGAAGCTAACAGTATTCATACCAGTAAAGTGCAAGTAAACATCGTCACGCAAATCATTTTCAGATATGAAATACTTTTTTATGACACAATGTCTCTTATTCTGCCAAAAAAAGAGGTTTCAAGAGGCTCAAGTGACAAGCAATACATAAAAACATATCCTGATTCGTAGAGCAAAAGGCATATCACATTCTACTTGCCACCCACTCCCCTTCTTCTTCCTTCCCTGCTGTAAATAACATGCTTAATCTGAATCTTCTTGCAACACAAAGAATTAGAACCAACAAGATAGGGCTCTGGAACTCAAACACAACACCCTCCCCTACTAAATAAAAGGAGAAAGCTAAACAGAAGACATAAATTAGTTCTACCCAAATAAATGGAAACTAAAATTATGAGTTTGTGATTATGGTATCCAATAGTTAGCCTTCCCATATGATAGAGCAAGAGATTGAACTACAAAGCTGGATCATCCTGGAAGATGAACTTAAAGAATGTAGAAGTGTATTCTTAAATACTTTCTTAACAATAGCTAAGATTCACATAATCTAAAGCCTACACCATCCAACACAAGCCACAAAGAGCACTGAAGGATAAACATGGATTACAAACAAATTATTGAAGTGATCACTGGGCTTCACAATCAAACATATAATACAGTTGCTGCTGGAAGCAATAGACAAGATATTCCTGGAAGGGACCAACTATACATGATTCTTAGAATTGGCTCAACCAACTGACATAACTTACAAGAAGTTCTTGACAGAAGGAAAAAGGTGACTTTTCAATTCCAAGCAAATGAATATATCATTATATGCATCTTTCTTTTCCCAAATAAGAAACAACAGAACTCTTCACAAGCTACTTTACAGAAAGTTAAGAAACCGTCACAAGTTCATGAAGATAGATCTGGAGCAATGTAATGATTCAAGTAGTCCACTAAACACAGCATAGCTAGCTTATAGAATGGATGATCTGAAAAAAGTAATCAAAACACAAGCAAAGATAGTTGATTGACTCTAGTAACTCATACAAACTTCCAACTCTTAATGTTATCCTCATAAAGACTAACCACCACTTTTGGCAAGAAATTTGTTGAAAAGCTTAAAAAAAATATATGCATTCCAACAAGAAAATTTTAATGAATACTCTCCCCAGAAAACCTGAGCAGAATTGGCAAACACGATTCTAGAACTAGTTTTAAATCCCTTAGTAAAAGCCATGATCAAATCTATTCAAATCACCACCGACGTTCATCCTTCACAAAACCTTTATGGTTGGGTTCTAGGTTTAGGCCGTTTGAAAGCCACCAAAAACAATTCCTGGGCCACGTTCTTAGACATCTGTATTGTTTGTATTCTGATAGAGGATAAAGGATAAATAGCAAAAGTGATGAGCATAAATTTGGACCAAGCCACTACAATGCCATGACCGATATATCATGTTTTAACTGGTTCTTCGGATTTAGACAACGAGAAGTTATGGTTGTTTATGAATAATTTGGTTATTAGTTTATAGCTAGCCTTTTTTTGGTTAAATTGCAACCCTAAAGAAAATTAAAGAGTCACACACAGACCCGAATAAGTCTAACGAGTGGCCAATAACCCCGTGATACCAAAAAAAAGAAAAAAAAGTAGCTTTCACGCATTTTTCTAATGAATCATTTAGTTTTACGATTTCATCGAAAGAGTATCTGAAGTATTGAGGAGTCAAGAAATTCAAGCCAAAATACCTACACATGGCATTGGCATATGACTTGTGATGCAATTTTCTTTGATAGCTTTGTACCATATCCCACTCCCAAGATTTCTTGGCAAAGTCATGCAACATGGAATGTGATAATCCTGTCCTTATCTCCATCTAAAGTGCAATGAGGCTCATGAAACTAAATGCCTATATTTTTATGCATTATAATTCAAATTTAAAATATCCAGTTAGGAATAATAACTAATATCACATACTTACTAATAGATTCTATGATGGGCAACTCTATTTCCAGTCTCTTGAAATGTAACGGAACCACTGTTTTGTGCATGTAAGAAACTGACATCGGATTAAATCATGAAATCATCATCAGCCATGCTTATTATGGGTGTTTATGTTAACATATTCCTGACTCTGATCTCGTCTTTATGTTGAAACTGAAATGCATATGAAGAATCAAGAGTTGTTGAATGCCATTGGCATTCCAATGGATGGGTCCCCTTCAAATTTCTAGAAACGGGAGGGGGACAAAATTCGTTTTGGGAAAAGAAGAAAGGAGGAAAGCAGTAGGACTAGGAAGTGTGAGTATTTCAGAGGAGAAAACATGTTGCAAATTAGTGTGGTTTTCCAGAAATCAGGCAGCGAGCTAATCTAAATTTGGAGCAAATCAAGTGAATGAATGAATTAGTTATGAGATCGAGGAATAGAAGGGTAAGCGGGCGAAGGAACGAACCTCTCACAAGCGTCTTCGAGGGAAGAGAAAGGACGGTGGTAGTCGGGATGGCAGACTCGCCAAGCATCCTGGTAGGCCATGTGGAGTTCCGCCTGGTTGGGTGGAGGGGTGGTTGGACTGGGCTTGTGTTGCAATTGTTGAAGGTGTGGATTAGAGTTAGGATTTTGCTGATTGGGGATCGGATGGTTGGGGTTGGGGTTAGGGTTAGGGTTTGGGTTTTGCTGTTGGTGCTGGTGTTGGGGTGGTTGGGATTGTTGGGAGTTGTTGTTGGGACGGTGAAGGAACTGAGGTCGCAGGTGAGCGTCAATGCTTGAAGGGAAACGAGAGATGGCCTGTTGCTGTTGCTGTTGATGTTGGTGTTGTTGTTGTTGTTGAATTTGCCGTAAGAGGAGAAACTGCTGCTGTTGCTGCTGCTGCATAAGCTGTTGCTGCTGAGCCAACGCCTTGGCATCTTCCATCTCTCTGCTCTCTAAGGAACAAACTGAGTAGGCAGGCAGAAAGAGTGGAGAAATTAGGACACAATTGGGGGGCACGGGCACGGGCACGGGCATGGACAATGTTGAGTCTGCAAAGTCGACTCACTTCGGACTCGACTTGGGTACCCAACTTTGCCAAGTTTTGGGTTTTCAGATTTGTATATAATAAATGAATTTGGGACTGATTCTAAAATATTAAAATTAATTTTGTAAAAGTAGTTATAATTTTTTAAGTCATATTATAATTNTGGTTGGGGTTGGGGTTAGGGTTAGGGTTTGGGTTTTGCTGTTGGTGCTGGTGTTGGGGTGGTTGGGATTGTTGGGAGTTGTTGTTGGGACGGTGAAGGAACTGAGGTCGCAGGTGAGCGTCAATGCTTGAAGGGAAACGAGAGATGGCCTGTTGCTGTTGCTGTTGATGTTGGTGTTGTTGTTGTTGTTGAATTTGCCGTAAGAGGAGAAACTGCTGCTGTTGCTGCTGCTGCATAAGCTGTTGCTGCTGAGCCAACGCCTTGGCATCTTCCATCTCTCTGCTCTCTAAGGAACAAACTGAGTAGGCAGGCAGAAAGAGTGGAGAAATTAGGACACAATTGGGGGGCACGGGCACGGGCACGGGCATGGACAATGTTGAGTCTGCAAAGTCGACTCACTTCGGACTCGACTTGGGTACCCAACTTTGCCAAGTTTTGGGTTTTCAGATTTGTATATAATAAATGAATTTGGGACTGATTCTAAAATATTAAAATTAATTTTGTAAAAGTAGTTATAATTTTTTAAGTCATATTATAATTTTTAAGATTTAAGTTATAATAAATGTATGGTTCAAGTTATTTTTTAGATATTTATGATGGATGTTATAAATCAATTAAAAAAAATGTGAAAAAAACTTGTATATTGCAGAATGCAGTAGTACAGTGTCGTTGAAATGTTTTTATGGGTACAATAGACTTTCTCCTAAAAGAACAATAATGAGCATCCCATACTTTTCTGTTTGGACATGATTTTATCATTTTTACTAATCTTGAAATTTTAAACAAGTTAAAAAAAATGTTTAAAAATTACATCATGGTGATAGTAAAAAGTTAGATGAATTAGTTGACAGACAGACAGACACACACACCACACCACACCGTGAAGTTATTATAGGTGATTTGATACGATGAATGAGTATGTATGGAATATATTTAATAAAAATATCTTTATTTTTTTGAATTTAATAAATTTAAATTTCTGTTAAAAGAAACAAATAGATGGGAAGGCATCAACTATCTCCTTACTAATTTTTGTGGTATAAAGAACATCTCCAACCGTGACTTAAATTTAATGATCCGTTTGGTAAGAATGATGGAAAGAAGAAAGGAAATAAAAGTGAAAAAAAATAAGTTTTTCATCCATAAAAGAAAGAAATTTATTTTTCCTCCTTTTTTTTTTTTGGTAGGAGGGATTTGATATATTTTTTATCGTTTGATATTGGATAAAAAATGAAAGGAAAAGAAAAACATATATGCCCAATTTACAATTAAACCCTTAAATATATTAAGTGAATTTTTTTATTACAAATCAATCCAATTAATTTGAAAAAGCTTTTAATCCCCTTATTTTTGTTACAAATTAATTTTGTTGAAATTAATTTTGCTTTGAATGATTTGTAATTATTTATACTACTTTAAAATGTCAACATATCTGTAAAACTTATTTTTTTTCACTTTTACTTTCCAAAATCACAACTATTTCATTCTTATTCCCGTACATCAAAGCCTAACATTAAACCTCATGTGAACTAATCCCAATTTACTGTCATTACAACCCTTCCCCCTCTCTCGCGTATAGAATCAATTGAATTACAGCGAAAATGGTGGACTTCACTCGGGTGCAGAAAGAGCTCCAAGAGTGTAACAGGGGATACAGAAGTGTCAGACATTAGCGTAAAACCTAAAAGTGACTATATCACTCAGTTGATTGAAACAATCCCTGGCCCCTCTTGGCACTCCCTACGCAGGCTGCACTTTTGCAATCGATATCTTAATCTCTATTAAAGTATGAGGTATTATCATTTGACCATCACATAACAATCCGATCTTGCTGCCTGATTTTTTTTTCGCAGACATCTTCTAATTCAGAGGTTCTCAGCTTGGGCTTTTCACATTCTTGAATGATGCGTATAGGTTTTGATTAATACAGATTTTGAACCGTTTGAGCTTCTTGATCTCTATCAAAGTGTGAGGTACTATAGTTTGATTATCACATAGCAATCTTCCTTTCCTTGATTTTTATTTTCTTTTTGGGGAACCAACAACTTGGGCGGTAATTCAATCTCTCTGTGTGTTGGATTGTGTTTTCGCAGATATCCTATGATTCTATCGTTTTTAGTCTTGGGCTTTGCATATTCTCGAATGAGATGCTTATGGGTTTGAACAGTACAAACTAATCTTGATCCCTTCAATCGTTTTGATCAGTATCAAGGCATGGTGATTATCGTTTGACCATTACACAACAATCTTTCTCTCCTTGATTTTTTTTTTTTTGTATTTTTTTTCCTTTTTGGGGAACCAACAATTTTGAAGTAATCCAATCTTTTTGCAGGTTGATTTGTATTTTTTAGATATCTTATGATTCTAAGTTTTTCAGGCTTGGGCTTTGCATATTCTTAAATGAGACACATATGGGTTTGAACAATACAAATCTTGATTCTGTCAAGTTTTTTAGATCTCTACCAAGGTATGGTGATTATCGTTTGGCCATCACATAACAATCTTTCTTTCTTTTCTTTTGTTTGACTTTCTTTGCATGGACGCGACAATTTGGAGTTAATCCCAATCCCATCCATCTGCCTGTTGATTTGTTTTTTAGCATATATCTTCTGATAAGGTTTTCGGTCTTGGGTCTTTGCATCTTCTTGAATGAGATGCATATGGATTTAAATAATTCGAATCTTAAAGGGCTGCATATGGGTTTGAACAATACAAATTTTGATCCCTTTAAGCTTCTTGACCTGCATCAAAACACAAGGCGACCGTTTGTTTCGAGTATAAGATTTAGGTGGTATAAGATTTTGTATTCATTCCATTCGNTTGAACAATACAAATTTTGATCCCTTTAAGCTTCTTGACCTGCATCAAAACACAAGGGGACCGTTTGTTTCGAGTATAAGATTTAGGTGGTATAAGATTTTATATTCATTCCATTCCNTAATTCAGAGGTTCTCAGCTTGGGCTTTTCACATTCTTGAATGATGCGTATAGGTTTTGATTAATACAGATTTTGAACCGTTTGAGCTTCTTGATCTCTATCAAAGTGTGAGGTACTATAATTTGATTATCACATAGCAATCTTCCTTTCCTTGATTTTTATTTTCTTTTTGGGGAACCAACAACTTGGGCGGTAATTCAATCTCTCTGTGTGTTGGATTGTGTTTTCGCAGATATCCTATGATTCTATCGTTTTTAGTCTTGGGCTTTGCATATTCTCGAATGAGATGCTTATGGGTTTGAACAGTACAAACTAATCTTGATCCCTTCAATCGTTTTGATCAGTATCAAGGCATGGTGATTATCGTTTGACCATTACACAACAATCTTTCTCTCCTTGATTTTTTTTTTTTTGTATTTTTTTTCCTTTTTGGGGAACCAACAATTTTGAAGTAATCCAATCTTTTTGCAGGTTGATTTGTATTTTTTAGATATCTTATGATTCTAAGTTTTTCAGGCTTGGGCTTTGCATATTCTTAAATGAGACACATATGGGTTTGAACAATACAAATCTTGATTCTGTCAAGTTTTTTAGATCTCTACCAAGGTATGGTGATTATCGTTTGGCCATCACATAACAATCTTTCTTTCTTTTCTTTTGTTTGACTTTCTTTGCATGGACGCGACAATTTGGAGTTAATCCCAATCCCATCCATCTGCCTGTTGATTTGTTTTTTAGCATATATCTTCTGATAAGGTTTTCGGTCTTGGGTCTTTGCATCTTCTTGAATGAGATGCATATGGATTTAAATAATTCGAATCTTAAAGGGCTGCATATGGGTTTGAACAATACAAATTTTGATCCCTTTAAGCTTCTTGACCTGCATCAAAACACAAGGGGACCGTTTGTTTCGAGTATAAGATTTAGGTGGTATAAGATTTTATATTCATTCCATTCCGATTCAATAGTATATTATACCCGGTCTTAAACTATAATCTCATCCTTCCCCTTGTTTATTTGTCACAAACATTATTTGTGTAATACCTACTTAAAAAAGTCAACAATTACATCTAACCAATGTAAAAAAGACAATTTTAACCTTAAAAAGTCAAAAATTGAAACTAGGTTTTTATATGGGTATTGTACCTGAGGGCATTTCGATCTTTTTAGTTTATTATACATCCATTCATTTATACCAAGAATATTATACCACCGTGTAAAAGGCATTAGTGTTACTGTTCACACCGGGTCGATACTATGACCCGAAAATTAATACCTAGTAAAAAATGTCAAACAAACAAGGTTTAAAATAGGCCCCATGTACTATTTTCCTTATACCACCCATATACCTCAAACAAACAGATCCAAGGTGTTATTGTTTGAACATCACATAGTAATCTTTGTTTTCTTCCCTTTTTTTTGTTTTATTTTTAGGTTATTTTTCTTTTATAATCACGCATTCTGAAATCTTGATTATCGAGGAAATCTTTTGGTGTGCCCTTCTTCTTTTTTTTTTTTTTTTGTAGCAACACAATTTGTATGTGCACAATATGAAATCACAAATTAGGTTTGTTTTATTTCAATTTCATGCTTGTTCATAACAAATATGTTATCTTGCAATTATGTGGTGTATGAGCACATGATTACAATTATGGGATTGTTGATTTGATTTGGTCCAATTTCTTGTCATTTATTTGATAGAAAAATAGATT